GGTCGCGAGAACACAACCCAGAGTGAAACCCGAACATGCGGGATAACCCCTTATGAAAGATTCGATATTTTTGGAAAAGGAAAATACAAAGTAAAAACGACAAATTTAATGGAAGAAAACTCAACCCCTAGCGATCCATTCATGGCAGACGACTCGGTAATTCTTAAAGTGGACTGTTGAAACGACATAGGGTTGGTTGAAGAAAGAGAGGTGAGTAAGAGCACGACTAGTTATACGGGAAGATCTAGCCACAATTTCCCGGGCTCACGCGGCTTCGCTCGCTACCACATTGCCGCCACATCGGCGGCTTACATACTATTCCGCAGTCAACCATACCAGATATGGTAGGACACTTCAGCACAGACAGCGCTGGCGATGGGGTTTCTTTATTGAAGTGATATCTATTCAAAAATGGGCCAGGAGCCCCAAGACTCTCTGGTACTTTGGCCATGAAGGAAAGAAAGATTGAGATCCTACCCAGCCCGTAATATACCCGTGAGAGGGTTGTATCCCTCTCAGCCAACTTAAAATTCTTCAAGTATGATAACGGGAATGGGGGCTCCGGAAAAGCTCTTGTTCGCTGAACGCCAAAGTTGAGGAACTCCGGGTTGCGCCGCACAAAGGGTTTGCCTCTTTTGGGGGTATATTTCGTAGCTGGTGGTGTGGTATCCGAGAGGTTTGCAGGGTTGCTTGAATTAAAATATTTCCAAACCTAGCATTGTTATCATACACAGAATTGTGGGAGAAAGGAAACTGTAGAGAGCTTGCTTAATCATGCGGGAGGATGTCTGCGTTAGCAGATTTATCGAGGGTGGAAGCGCAGATCATATTCCCTCGGCATAACATGGCCAAGCCTACCATGAAAGGGAGGTCCTCAGCCATCAAGCCCATCACTTCCACTAGCCCACATGACCAGAAGGGGGCACTAGTAGCTGACAACTGCAATTGCTATATTTTGTCACAGCCTCTATTGATCTTGGGATCGTGTGGGAAAGAAGTAAGAACATGTTCACCCGCAGAAAAATTTAAAAAACCAGCTCCAAGTAAGGTATGTCAACCAGCCAACAGAAACACGTAAGGATACCGTATACAATATATCCCACATGAGAATACCTCCGGGCCCTTCTCCAGTGCCCTACCAGCTTCAATCGCACCGAGAGCTTCTGTGGACTATCTGGAGCTTTCTAATTGTCTTTTCTGGTGCCGCTGTTTCGTCCCATTACCCTACACGAGTGGCCACTTCCCTTCCCTTTGATGATCACTTTTCCGGCGGAAACGGTCTCAAAAGGGAACGGGACGGGAGGGTCGTATCCAAACAGAGCCTAACTTAAGAGTTTCCCCCTTCATTTCTACTCACCACCCTCGGCCCTTTGTGCGTTCCATGGGCATACTAGGAAACCCACATCCAGGTGCAGTAATACGGGTACTATATCATATACATAAGCTCGAGAATTACAAGTCACAAGCTCAACATGTTTTTTTCCGCCATATAATGGGGTTACGGTGGCTGTCAGGTTCAAAAGCTAGCGGGTAATCAGATCTACCACTCAAATAATAATATGATATCCTCCCCTCAGAACTACATCTCTATCTCTGATGTATCATCCTTTTCACGCCGTTCGCTGCAAACCAGTCTGCGGGGGACTCACGCAAAATCACCGCTTACTCTAAAAATGAAGGATGTCAGCCGAACAATGACTGACCTGTGCTATCCATCAGGAAGGTTCAAAATTCGAAATGTTTGGTGACATGTGATTTGAAGCTATAAAATGCATCAACCACTCGAGTAGGCAGATGAGTTCCGTCTGGAGAGCGATGAGAATTTAAACCAACCAAGGCTGCAGACGCAAGTCCATCACGCGCCCGTTTAGATCCCATCGAAGGTTTTGAGGACCGCTTTTGGCGGAGTACGGTTAATGGCAATGCCTTCGCTCTGGCCTTCGGAATTCCGCCATCTCGGTTCCCCACTCATTGGATCCTGGCTAAACGCCGTATTCTCCGCGTTAGGTGCTGCTGCACGTCGACGAACGGTTATACAAGCTGCCTGCGCTGGATGGATGGAACAGATCTTCAGGGCCGTATTTTCCTTGGATGCCGTCTTTACTCGTCCGAATCAACTATCTATGTTAGGCTGTGATCCTGAGTACTCGGGAACAAAGCATCGTGAGAAGGAAAATCGTTTATTCGACGTGGTGTACCGGTAGTTTGAGAATGACGAACTGCTGGGACTTGTCAACTGGTGCTCAAATTTCAGTATCATAACTTGCGTACTGTAGCTAAGCCCACTGTAGTTTAGCTCTGCTGCTCATCTTATATGGGACCGCATTATACCGGCAAATACGGCACATGCTTAAGCAATTCAACACACAATCTATCTCTTCTGCTCCCCCCCCCCTGTTTAGATTTTTGGTGAATATGCGCAAATAGTAAGAGCATGACTCGCCGCCAAGGTCGCATATCCTTTCAAGAAAAAACACAGAATTGGGTAGCGTGTCCAGACCCTCCCCAGTGGTTGGTAAACCGAGTTTGATCCCTCAATTGTTGGATTACCTAACCTTGGGCGCCCTCCAGAGGGTAGTCCCAGTTTCTTCATTCGACGTTAGCCTCACGGCTGTGTCCCAGCGGTGCTTGTATCGGCAGCTTCCATTGCGCACGACACGTCCTCCATCAACATATCCATTCTCTATCAGGTGTCTCCTTCCGCTTTCGTATTCCCACGCTAATGTTGGAGCCCGTAGCTGCTCGGTATGCTTGCTGTTGTCGTTCTCCGCCGTCACTCTCTGTCATCCTTACCTGTAGCCATTGGAGGGTTATCACCTACAGCCGTCAGAAGAAGGCTATCGTCGCAGGAAAGTACGAGCTTTCGGTAGATGCTACGAGCATGGGACAGAGGTCATCATTATCTGGCATCGTTGTTTGTCGCTGGAAAGCATGGAAGCCATTGAAGGAAACAAGCTGGAATTATCAGATGCGTGAAGGCTAGAAAGCAGTGAGAGTTCTTTGAGAGGGTTTTTCTATTGTTAGCCTGGGAGTCCGGAAGGGAGAGGGAGACATGTGTGGAGGAGGACAGATATATATCTGTAGTGAATGGTGGAAGGACCGGGGAGTGATATTTGGTTTCTTATTTACTACTGTCCTTTAGCCAAGGTCGAAACACAAATCTTCCTTCTTCACCTAAAGGTTGTTGTGCGATCACTGTATCTTATGTCCACTGCTACTGTTCTATCGTTACCCATATCGGCACCATATTTTGTTGCTCAAGCCATTGAATGTGTCCCGCAGCTTCGTAATGCCTTCAGAAAGATCCTCAATAACTGTTATTTAGACTCATATCTTGCTTCACCGTGCTCTGACTCTCCCTGCCTTTTAATCTCCCAGGAGCGCAATACTAAACAGCAGGCTCTGCTGCATTAGGTTTTACCTCCATGAAAGCCTCATCGCCACCCCATGTCTGCTAATTAGAGTTCATAGACCAGTGAGGTATTTTCCTTAGTGAACCAGGTTTCATAGGTCTATACTCAGCCGCATATTCGCTTAAGCCCACATTGTGAATGTGTGCTACAGGAACGTGAGGATGCGCAATCCATTCCAGCATTACCAAGTAGATCAAACAATGGCTTCCTGCCCGTCTCCCAAATCCTGGAATGATGCCCCCCGGGATACTCCCCAAGCTGCTGACGGGGGACAGAGCATACTACTGGAACCTGCGACCTGGATAGAGAGTAGCCTATTAGAGTACCTGGAGTAATTGGTCCACACCCTGGATATCCTGAGGTACCATATTAGGCTCCAGGAGAGACTGCTAGACCCAGATATTCGCTGGATATCAGAGGGGGTAGCATAGCCCATCGCTCAGCTGTTGGGGGAGTTTGGCTACTAACAGAGGGGGTTACCAAAGGTCAATACCTGGATAGCCCCATAGCATCACAGAGGGTCACTCGGTCTGTGGAGGGTTTAGGGTGTTGGAATAGTACTTTCCGATATGTACAAGTACAGTCGACATATTTGGATTTGACTCAGTCTTCTGCTTTGGTTAGCCTCAGCTCACAGCTGTCCGAGCTTAACTTGTTTTATTGTTTCTTCATATCATACTGTGGTCAACTCTTTTCTTTTAGTTTCTCCTGTCTTCTACAATCTCTGCTCTAATTTCCTGCTTCTACTGCTCCTGCCTGCCGCTACTTCACTGCATGAATGGCAGGTCTCTGGGCCCGTTCCTGGTTCTATTAAGCAGCTTAATTCTCTTCCTCTCTCACTATAGAAGTTTTAAGTACATGGTTCGATCTCGCCTGACTTTATAACACAGGGTTCGATTATCTGATTTTGGATGATGAGCAGGTGAGGTCCTTTTCCACCAGCTCGTCACACCCTGTATCGGTGTTGACCATATCCTATATCAATGCCCAGCACCTGCCCGGGTATCTGTCAGACACCCCCCCCGTGGGGTCGGTGCAGGTGCCGCGCTTCATATTGATCGAGGCTTCCCAGAAAAATACTTCTACAATCTGGCGCCGCATGGTATCACTGTAGGTTGCTGTATTTTGTGCAATCAGCCCTATCTGATGATTAGGAGGTTGATCAAAACCAAAAGGTTAGGATTCAACAGTTAACCTAAGTGAGGTGATCAAGCCAGGGTATTGGTGACAGTGTGATATCTCCTATTGCATAGTAAGGTATGATACCATCCCGATACTTGTATATTTTACCGATACACACTCAAAGGTTTAAAATGTTATTTAACTAGGAAAGCACAGACTACCCTCATGGATTATATATTGACTTGCTCCCCCACCAGCATACAGCTGGGTGAAGCTATAGAATAGACCACAACCACGTTCCAATCCAGATGACGAGGACAAGAGTGGACATGGCTATTATGGGGGGTACGAGATGCGCGGTGACGATCATGACAACCAAGCTAACGGCATCCGCCGGAACAAAATCTGCATCAGTCGGGGTACCGCGGTAGTTGGGGCAAGCATAGATGTTGGTGTGGGCATCAGTGACTCGTAATATGACACGTCTGCACAAAGCCAGTGATATGGAATGGCGGTACGAAGCCCTGATTAGGAATCTAATAGCTATATATAAACAACTTCCTCCTCCGCAGGTTCCTTCATCTGTTCAAATCCCTGGTCAGATCGGCTGCCAACCTAATGCAAGAAATCCCCTGTTTGTACTCAATTTTATACAAGTTGAAAAGCCATTTTCCATTGTTCCATGCCGCAAAAGGATATATAAAACACAGAAGGAGATAACCCATCCCATTGGCACCAGAGCCAAAAGGAAAACTTAGCCAGGAAAAGAAAGGAAAGAAAATGGAAAAAGATACCAGAAGGCAAAAGGAAACGGAGAAAACATCCCTATTTTGCTGTCGCTCCCCTGTAGCTATAATCCTCATCCGTAGCAATGGACATACTTAACACCGGGGAGATTCTTCTATTCTCGCCCATTGGCACTAATCTGTGTCCTCCGATTCCATTATCGGTATAGGCACTTCCTTCGCCGCCCCGGGGGATAGGGTTGTTGGGGTGAGCATCGTAACTAGTATTGTAGCTGGTCATACTTCCACTATGTTAGTAATGGGAGGAGAATCAGTTGTCACCGTCGTCCTCATCTAGGCCTTTATTAATGAGGGCATATTCGTCGTCAGAACTAAAGGCGTCCTTGGTGGTTTCCTCAATGTTATGTCCTGCCGGGCTAGGTCCCCGAACGGGGAGACGCTGTGTTGGCAGAAATACCAATCGGCATAACCTGCGACAGTAGTAGTTCTAAACCAGAAAAGCCTGCATTAAGTTAATGAGGAAAAAATGGAACTGTGGAATGAACGGTGTGCAGGGTGAGAGGGAGGTGTTTACCACGAAATCTTACCGAGTCCGACGGCTGCTTGGTTTATCTTACATGCTTTGGGGTCCCCATCAGTTCCCGCGGGAAATGATGCAAATCCACCTCCGTCTTGATCGTACACTTTTCGTCCTTCTCTTTCCCCTCTCCATCAGGGATCCCGCCATTAGTGTGGCCAGCGATAGAAGGCCGCGAACCAGACAATCTATGTCCAATCAGTTTCCCCTTGAGCGTAAGAAGCGAGGAAATAAGTGCCAGCAAACACACCGTAATATAGTATTGACCCCAATAACCCAGTACGGGTGCGCAAACATTTTTGTCCTCTGACACCGGGGTCAGGTATACCAGCACCGGAACTTCAAACCAATACTACCACCGGTAAACGTCATCATCAGTTTTCAGGGCAGTCTGCGGGAGTGTAGATGGATGGACGGATACAAACTGAGGACGGAAAAACTCACCATTGCGAACATGGATTATTATCGCACTACTCGCTGGACCCTTCGCCGACATGTGCTATAACCACCCCCATTATTACCGCGCTCCATAATGCCTGGGTGATGTGCCGTATTCACCATGATGCTCAAGTATTATTTCGTTCCCTTTGGCTTAGCGACCACCATGTGTCGATCAAACGCTTTCTTAAACTGTTCGTACACCTGCAGGGTGTCATTGGCCTCTTGCATTAGCTCCACCACTGCTGTCGCTTGTACTGATTCCTGGCTCTCCTTGTCGCGGGCCCCCGGGGACTCTGACCCGAGACTTTCTGAGGATAGCAAATACCAAGGGGGAGGGGGTACGGCAAGGCAAGTGTACTGTTTGTGCCGAAAAAAAAAATTGGGTGGGGGAAAGAAATAGGGGGTGATACCAATGAGACAGAGCTGTGACATGACAGCTAAACGAGGAAAGATAAAAGCAAATTAAAAAGAAATATAAATATATATATTATGAAAATGAAAATAAGTACAAAATAATCATAAAAAATTAACATAATTGTAGTATTATATAAGGATTAACTTCTATCGAGTTCAAGAGTTATTTTTGTTAAGATTCTATTATTTTATATATTATATAGGTTTAAGATAAATGTATTGTAACACTAACTACAATGTCTATAGTTACATCATTATAACTTCTGTTATTAAAATATAAAAGAGGTGACACGTGTCAAGAAAATAATAAATTCAAATAATAATAATAAATATTCCAGTGTATTTGCGATGAGGGTATATCCAGATTTGATTCTTCCAAAAAATCTTTCCTTACGATAAAATCTATCCTTTTCAGAAATATTTCTTATTCTTTAACTTTTTTCTAAAATGTTGACCAGACCTTGTGTTGCTGCAAGCTGTGAATGAGAAGATTTTCTTACCCCAAAGTCTGGGAATCTCAGAAAGTGTGGAGCTACAGACTGCAGTCATCCACTTGGAGCCCATCAAAGTATGAAACCAGCAGTTAGTAGCAGTTACAAGCATATTCCTTTTGTTGTGAAATAACAGATTATTGCTTTAGATGATGAGGAAGATCACGATCCGTAAACACCAGATCCAGAGTCAAACAGATCAACTAGTCGAAGCTTAATCATTATTTCAAATCAATCCTTACACACCAAACAAGTCAAACCATCAATCTCCTTCGGTACTGAGGTTAATCTTGCTTGTCAAAAGGCTAAAGCAGAAGCCTTACTTGCACACCGTACAGCACTAGTTAGCTGTTACGAACTTCAAATGATCACAAGTCTGAATACTACTCCTCAAATAACATTTTTGAACTCTTCAAAGCCACTTCAAATTAAGACAAATATTTGGACACGACAGGATAGAAATTATATGGTGAAGGAGAATCATCTGCAATGGTGGGACATTTACTTGGAGGATAACTGTATGAGTTACAATAACTGGTTTATTGAACATATTCAAAACCACACTGGATGGCAGGAACACAAGGGAGGGATTGAGATAAAGCTAGATTTTGGAAAAAGAAGACCAATTCTGATTGGAGAAACAGAGTTGAAAGAAGATCCAACAACAATTCCAGCACCAAAGTGTGGAGGCACTTGGCGTGGCTTATTGCAAAATATTCCAGAATTTCTTGATAAGCTATTAGTTGAAGAGGGACGACGCGGATCCAGTAAAAGAAAGACAATAGTCAATTCTTCAAACAATATTTGATGTCTCTCAATTGTTGTACCGACAACAGCAATTCAGTAAAACGAAGATGAGTTAGATTCTGGGAGGAGTCCAAAGAAGCCAATACTACAAGTGGTCATCAAGCAACAACGTGGAAGGGTTAAAGTCGAAACTGGAATATCCTTGCAGCATGCCAACTTATTTGTCCAACCTTTTGAGCCAATCACAACTCCATCAATCCAAAAGCCCGAAAATCCTACGTTAATTCAGTTTTTGATAAAAATAATTCTACTGATATTATCACTATGGCTATGCCTTCCAAACAACATAAATTCTTGTCAGTCTATCGAACTACTAGCTTATCAATATACACAACACCTTCCCCCAATATTACTATCAACAATGCGAAAGGTCTAAGAAAGTGTACAACTAGTATTCTCTCACCAGAGAGAGTTACATTACGTCGGAATTCTCCAGAAAAGCGTGGGAAGGTAGTAAGCTATCAACAAACATCGTCATCTCAGTTAGGAGTATCGGGGATGAATAGGAGGAGACAAATTGATAGCTCATTTTTTAATAGTATATGTAAGAAACAAAAAGGAAAACAGAAGAGTGAGAAAGAAGGAACTGAGTCTGGTTGGAGCTCAACAACAACAGATTCAAAGTCTGGCTCAGATGTAGAAAAGAAAGAATAATTCAAGTTAGCAGAAGAAATATATAAATAGGTATTTTTTATTCTTCAAAGTTATGTCAATAGTTTTTAACTTGACTTTATTCACTGTTTTCTTGTAGTAGTTATTAGTTTTATCTTTTTCTTTTCTTTGTTTTTCATTATATAAATTGTTATTCAATTTTCCACTCTGTTTGACTAATATTACATATATATATATATAGTTTTTAAATTGTATGATCATGGTGACAAAATTCATTGACCTCACTACTGAAGTCACAATAACTATTACTACATCATAAGATTAAAATGAAGTATTCTAATTCCACTTTGTACAATATAATACTATACATTCTAAACATAATTATCAGTATATTAGCATACATCCCCACTTCTTATATTCTTTCAATCTCTCGACTATGCTTTTAATCAATGTGTTCTAATTACATAGTTTCAGCCTGTCCCATTCCTCGTGCACCGCTTTACACATTTCTGCATGAGTTCTAGGGCAGTGGCATCATGCATTGATGCGCTTCTTAATAATTTGCCACAGATTCTCAATGGACTTGAAATCGGGTAAAGATGTAAATCATTTATGAAGTCAGATTTCTAACTCCTACTTCGCCTCTAACAAGCCCTGTCCAATGTTCCTGATTGGCCAGGCCACTAATAGGTTGCCTTATAGGCCATAGGCCAGGCAAAGGCAGGCTGCTTAGTTAAATGGCCTAGTAATTAGATAGAGAACTACTTGCTTTAAGGGTAACTTGATTCCCTACTCTTTTCTTCAGCTTTTATTTTCTCAACCACAGTGCTGCGCTTTTCCTACTTGTAATTTAATTAACTAATCTAGTATATTTACTAAAGAAATAAACTTCATATATTTTTAGAGTTTGGTGAACGTGAAATATTTAGACTTTACAATTATGGTTGATTTCCCATGGCTAAGGGTTGGCTACTGGATAGGAGACACAAATACAGTACCTGGAAAGCTTGCCTCAGAGCTCAGCCATCTGGGTGGGATTAATGGGTGATAGAGGTCAGGCCTACCTGGCCCATTGTAAATACTAGCCCTACTACTAACTCGACCTCTATAGATGTCTTATAACCAGTTATAGAATTGCTAAATAGAGGAGCAATGATAGTCTGAAGAACTTATTTCAAATTGTTCTTCATATTAATACCCTTCTTCCCTGTACCATGTAGAAAGACTAATTCCAACATCCAATGTTAGATTATTGAATCCTATATACTTACCTATGCTGAGCCACAATTGAAAGCCAATTGAATGCAATCCTTGTAGTAGCACTCAGTTGAAAGTCTAGTAACATAGTCAGAGCCTGAGTGAGAGGTACCAAAAGTTACCTTGTTAGAATAGATGTGTTACCACAACCAACCTTTTGACTTATTACCATATTCAATCAAGAACTCCAGTTAAGCTTTCTGGGTATCGTGATTGATGAAGGGCTTTTTACATACTTTGAAGCAAGAATAACTTTAAGTCTCAAGCACCCATTGAATTATACTTCTGAAAACAGCCAATCCTGCATTCTATCCTAATTTTCACTACTACAGTTTATAGCCCTCCCTACAGTATCTGAGGTTATATATCAAATGGCAACTGCCATACTATGTATCACGAACATGGCTTGGCATGGAAAAGGTTTTCACATGACTCATTTAGGTCATATGATTTATTATGATTTGTTATGTTTCGCCCATGACTCCATTGTGAGCCATGGGACGTGCACCTTGCGAGTATGCCTTGCGGGTATGCCTTGTACATATAATTTATGTTTTGCACATGACCTCGTTATAAGGTCATAGGCTTTGTACATGCGACCACTTGGGATCATATGACTTGTTTATTGTGTTATGATTGGTTTATGAGTTTTTGCACATGACCTCACTACGAGGTCATGGGTTTTGGATATGTGACCACTTTGGTCACCTGATTAGTTTGTTAGGATTTACTTTCACACATGTGACCACTTTAGGTCACATGACTTAGGGCAGGAAGAGTACTATATAAGGAGGCTGGTAGGGCTGAGGAGGATAGACTCTTCACGTTTTATTCTAAGTACTTTTTCTATTTATTACTTCAACCAATATAAATTACCTTTACGATCTTTATCTTTATTGCAATATTTATCGTTATGCCAAGGAAAGCTCTTCACAAAGAAGAATTAGAGAACGCTTACGATAGGCAATCCTGATCAAAGATAATGGTCTTGTACTATCGGTAACGTAGGCAGAGGCCTAGTGCTATCATAAGACTAAGGAAAGAAACAGAAGAAGAAGAGAAGTATAGTTCCCGGTCACCAAGAACTAACTATCTGAAGAGGGATCGTTACATTACAAAGTGTCACCTAGAGCGACGCTAAATGATATATGATGGCTTCCTTCAACCTTGAGAGGGAAGGAGATATCGACATGGACGATCAAAACCTTAATCTAGGGGGATTTAGCAATGTCTTAGATCACATTTCAGTAGAGCCCTCGAGGGCAGCAAGTCCAGTAACCCCAGAGAATGGATCACTTGCCGATAGCTCGCCTACATGAACTGCACGACCAGAAAGGATGTCGGGATCTGCAGTACCTGGGCTACCAGCCCCAGCCGCTCCGGCACTAAGTACCAACATACTTAGAATGACTGAACACTAGTTTCAGACATTTCTCACAGTAACACGAAATACAGGACAAGGAAATATTCAACGACCAAAAGTCAAAGAACCCGATACAAATAAAAAAGCTGAAGATAAGTTGCGAATATTCTTAGCACAATGCAAATGATATTTCTCTGTCAAAGGATATAGAGAACACCATGACGAGATCAAGATTCCCTTTGTGGAATCTCTGTTAAGAGAACTCGTGGGGCAATGGATTATGCCATTCCAAGATGGAAGGAAATAAAGGGACTGGGTCACTTATGCAGAATTCAAGGCGGTCCTATTGAAACAATTTTGGGATCCCAATGCTAAAGAAATGGCAAGACGAAAGTTGGAAAAGCTCTAACAAGGAAAACA